GAATGACATTGCATTTATTAGAAATTTACACATGCAATTAAAGTAGGGATGATTTCGCGATTCTCCTTTAAGCAGGGATGGTATTTTGTAATACTCAACTTTAGCCACAACGTATGTTTTTATGAGTTATATGCTGTAACCACTAGGGTTTATTCTGAGTACTACATTTTTTATTATTTTTATCACAGCCATGATAGTATAACTATAATATCTCTTCAAAAAAAGGGGATAAAAAAGAAAAAACTATTTTTTAAACAGTGTTGAGTGTTGAAAGCATATCTTGAAACTCTTAGTGCAAAAACAATAGCATCCACAAACTTGTATTTTGATACATGACAAAATCTTTGATATCTCCTAATAGAACACTCGAAATTCCAAAGAGACTTCAAAATCTTTCGAACATAGTTCACTATAACTAAAAATAAGTAATAAGCATTCCTGTTCTCACATGCTCTGTGAGCCTCCTTTCCCTGCCCCCAACTGTATCACTGCCTCTACTTGGCAAGATTTTCTGTTTACCATTCACTAGGATCCTTTTTCCTTCCTGTTTTCTGCTTTCAAATTATATATCATTTAATTACGAAAGATACAATACACATATGCAAGAATGTTTCCTATATTTTAACTATTAGATATATTTGTTATATTCAACCAAATTACATGGTTATTTCTATTCACTAGAAGTGCATTGAAGGTTTCTCATGTGCAAGAAACTTGCTGGAGGGCTCAGCTCACAAGGTTTGGCAGTGAGTATGGACATAGGGGGTTTATATAAATGAATAAGAGGTGATCCCCTCTTCTAATTTGGGAATAAACCACCTGCTTTGTTCATCTTGCTCCCTCATATTGCAATGTCATTCTCCTTTTCTCTAACCATTGGGACCTCTGCATCCTTCTTTATGTCCTCCATGAAGCCCTTTCCAGAATGTCATAATCAAAGTTCATTATCTTATTTACCCTTTCGAGATCACTATATATCTATATGGCATTACTCATTTTGCTTTTTTGTTATTGTTGCTTTCACGTCTGATTATACCCATTATAGCCGTGGCTATTCAATTTAAATTAATTAAAATGAAATAGTATGAAAGGTTCAGTTTTTTGCCTACACTAGCCACATTTCAGTTGCTCAATATCCACATGTAACTCATGGTTTCCATATCAGATAGCGCAGATTTAGACTCTTTTCACCATCACAGAAAGTTAAATCATAAGCTTCTTGACGGTAGGGGCTATATCATTTAAATTAATAAGGTTCAAAACAATAAAATAATACATGTAAAATATGAATATCTCTGTGGTGATGTGGGGCAAGAAGAAAGATCAGGATTGTTTGGCATATGGACACAGAGCTGCCTGATACTTAAAACTCTCTTGTATTTGGGAAGATAACATTAAACTCAGAAGGAAGACAAGTAAGTTATATCTGCTTAAATTATATTATGTAGGTACAGTGATTCAAAAAATCATATAAACCGCACACATTCAATTTTAACAAATGTGGTCACAATGAAGTGAACGGATTAAAGAGATATTTGATTTTCATCTACCAACCCAAGTATCCAGAATATCTAGTTTACATTCCTATTCAAATTTCTTCAGAATGAAACTATTGAAATATAATCTTAAAGAAATAGTATATTCTTTAAAATGTATCCTCTACGAATTCTAAGAAATTCTGGATTATTACCAAAAAAAAATGAGGACTCCTATTTTTTACTAGTACAATGAAAAAGTAAGTTACTATGTTTAATGAAACTTGAAGAATAACATTAAAGTATTGATTTAATGGCCATGTATTTCCATAAATTTTTGTTTAGTGAATACATTGGTCTTTAATGTCAGAATATTGTCCATAATCAGGATGGGAATTCTGCAGGGGGTAGGCCTGTTGCAGGCGCATGGCCTTGGGCTCTGACTTGGCCACTGATTGACAGTGTGGTCTTGGGCGGATCATCACTTAAGAGATCCAAAAGTTTTCCCTCATTCAAAATGGGGCCACTGATCTTTACACACACATTTGTTGTGAAGTTTATGAAAATAGGCATTGAAGCATCAAGCACCTCTTTGACATGCCCAGTGCCTGTCCTTTGAATACTGAGCTCAGAATTTGCCAGTGTCCTTCCTTGTGAACCCATCTCTATCTTTACCACCTAATATAGCCAAATTACCTGCGATTCCATACTTGATTGATATTTTCTTCATTACATTTTTGTTTGTTGTCATTGTCTGTCTATAGACCTTTTCTCTTTTACATGTTAGTTTTATGGCAACAATTACAAACTGAGACAAAGAAAAGAACACTTTAATGGGGTTTTAAGATAGGGGTAGCCTATGCCATTTACCTTGAGAGGAGCTTAAGATAGCGGAAGTCCCTCAGAATTAAGAAAGATTCTAGAATATTGTGGGTCACTTTGTATACAAGAACAGCAACACTGATTATTTGACTGAGCTGACCTGAAGAGTTGTACTGCATAGTGACAACATTTATCATTCTAAGAACCATTAGCACACCGGATCATGTTCACCTCAACAACACTGTTATGACTTTGGAGAAGGAATAAATAACATTCCTTTGCCTGGTGTTAATTAGCCCCATTCCAACACACACACACACATACACACACACACAGAAGGAATACCCCCTTCTAACACACACACACACACACACATATGTGCATACACATACCATACACACACACACACACACACACACACACACTATCTGACCTTATTTCCAGGGTTTTATTCATTTGAACTCCTTTCTTTGATTATTACTTCTTCAACCAATTTGCTTTGCATGATATAGGTTTTTGGAGTTAGAGACATGAGGTTTCTGAATCCCATATTTTGACTACTACTTAGTTAATCTCTTACCCAAATCTTTCATCTGTGTAATGAGAATAAAAACATTTACCTTGTATGATAATTTTGATTTGAAATTTAAGTGAGAAATAGATGTTTAAAAAAATCCTGACATGCTTTCTTAATAAATATTAATATTTCCCTACTTTACCTTTTAAAGAGGAAGTTAGGATCCAATGGACTAACATGCTATATAACGAGAGAACATAGGATTTGAGTGAGACCTGGGTTCAAATCTTGGTTCTGCCACTTATCAGTTGTGTGTCCCTGGGTATTTATTAAAATAGTATCTTAATTTGTAAAGTGGGAATAATAATTCCTACTTCATTCAGTGGTTATGGGGGTAATGTGAAATGTATATAACTGCTCTGTATTAGTCCTGGTGTCTCCCATACATTAATAACATATTACTAAAACACTCTATTCCGACTATTATCTGTGGTCTAACTTACATTTAGCTACTTCCAACATATCTTCCACTAGATTATAAGTTTCTGGAGGGTTAGGGGCCAGATTTGACTCTTTTTTGAACTTTATAGAACCACCTAGACTAGTACCAAGCGTGTTATGCCAATGTTTGTTCAACTTCTGGCTAGTAGAATAAATGCCTGAGATGTTTGGCCTGCCCATTCCTCAGCCTCCACCCTCAGGATGGCCAATAGGAGCAACAGGTTTTAATAAATCATTACTTGTAATGGAAGCTGAGTCAAATTAATGGGTTTTCCAAGCATAATGACATAACAATTACATGATATGACTAGAACTCTATGAATTATTATGTACTTGGCTCACATTTATATAATTATCCATTAATTTATTCTGTACCTATTAGGCCCTGTCTATTGCCTTACTTTAAAAAAAAATATATGTGTGGCCTATTCATGGTTATTATGAAATACAGCCCCCTACTTAGATGCTCCTGATATGTACCATGCTCTTTAATGGTAGCTATTTATAAGGAAGAACATAAACAAAAAAGAAGAAAGAGAATTAAACATAAGCAAAAAGGTAAAAAGGAGAATGACCCGTCGAGTAGGTGGTGCCTTCCACTGTGACTGTCTTGGCTATTGCTTTTCTAGCTTTTATATGTGGAGCTATTTAGTATCATTATTCATAATACTCTTTTGTGGTTTTACAATAGTATCTTCATGAAATCATTATAACTGTGATGTAATAAAGTATACTTTATTAATGTATAAAAATTAATTACTTGGCAGCATGAAGGGAAATTTTAAAACATACCTTTGCCAACCAGGAAACATAATTTTATAAATAAAAATTTCAATATCTTTAAAATAAAATGGCAACACACGGAAAGACTTCCACTGCTTTTCAAAATCTTATCTTTTAAAAAAAATGATGTTCTGTACAATCTACAATTTGATGCACTATCCCCATGATATGGATCTTACTTTATTCCTTATTGATAAGAAATGCAGAAAACACAAAGTTGAATGTCATATTTAGAGTGTCACAAAATATGGAACAATCTGAATGGGATTTTAGGATTTTGGCCTGGCTGATTTCTTATTTTGAGCCTTTTATGTGATCTTGTTTATGGAGAAATAAAAAACACACAAATGGTTTATGGCCTGATTACTATGTATTAATTGTTTTCAGACCATAAGAGATGCAAGCTTCCAGTTTTCTGTCATGTTTATTTTACATTTCTCTGTAAACCAGTAAGGCATGTTTTATTCAATATTAGCCAAACCAAATATGATTCCTGTGTTTTTTTTCATTTGTGCTCGGAGATATAGCAAAGTACCCATCATTATAGTGTTTATTGAAGTGAAACTTGTGATTATATGAATGCTTAATGGATTTGGGAAAAAAGACTAGCAAATTAAAAAATACTTATAAAGATCAAATGTGTTTGTCCCTTCAGTTCATTTGTGGCATTTTTTTTTGGGGGGGGGTAGGGGTAGGGGAGCTACATCTTTGGTTTAGTAAAATAGTAAAGAATTTATTAAAATTTTAAAATTTTCTCTGTTGCTCTTAAGTAAGATATATGAGAAACACTTTTTGGATAGATACTACATAAAGTTAACAAGAAGGATTTATTTTCTTATACTGTGTTCCCTGATTTCAATTGTTTTTTTCATCTTCCTGTTTTTTTCTTAATTTAATTTCAGAGGGTTGTTGAAGTATCAAACCAATATAGATACGCACCCTCCAGGCTGCATCAATCTTAATGGAACCCGGTACCGGAATACTCACTTACCTGAAAATCTCTCAGAACATTTTCATGAATCTTTTCCTGGAGGGTTTTCAAAACCAGATGAGGTTACCCGGAACACATCTTTGAAGATTTGTCAGGAAGAGCCCAGGTTTCAAGCTAACTTTCCACAGGTCTGATTAATTTTATGTGTTTGATGGTCTCTGCAAAATGGGTATTTCCATAGCAATTGATCAAACATGTTTTTGAAGTTACATAAAGCAATTATTCTAACAGAACAGAACATTTTAGGATGTTTCAATAGCAAGTTACTGCATTACATGATAGGCAGCTGACAGTTCCGAGAGAAAGACCTATACCATTATGGAATATAACCAACCATATGATCTCTGCATACTATGGCACTGGTGTTTGCCACAAGAAAGGTAACAAAGATATGCTCCCCATCCATTGAGAAAAATAGGTGGAATATTAAAAACAATAGTGAAAGAACTAATACTAATAATATTTGTGATACAATATTATGTACAATATTATAAATAATAAATTAAAATTAATTTATTGACTGCTTAATATCTGCTAGGCAGTGTGCTAAAATGCACTGTATGCATAATTTTTTCAATAGTCACAATAACTATTACGATAATCCTCAACTACTGCCATCCTCAATTTTCTGATGAGGAAATTCCTGCTTGAATATATAAAATACCTTGAGCAAACTCTTCAAACAAACGTGCGGCAGAAGTAGAGTGCAAAACTAGGTCTTTGAGTAAAATGCTTGCTCTTGGAATACTTTCCCAAGGACCATAATGTTCCCCCTGGGAGGCTGTGGGAGCTGCCCAGGTGGGAATTATGCCCTGTCATCTTTATCTGTACAAAGTGGAAGTAGGGTAAATAGTGATGTCGAGTGTCTGTTTTAAGAAGAAGAAAGTAAATTAGAAAATAAAGGCAGTCAAATACAAGGTGACGGAAAGACACTAGACTTCAGGTGGTAAGAGTATGCAAATATTGTATTATAAAGTTGCACACCTGAAATTTATATAGTGTTATAAACCTGTATTACCCCCAATAAATTTAATTTTTAAAAAAAGAAGAAAGAGGAGTCAAAAAGTGGAGTGATTTGTTGATGGCTTTGAAATGTGTGTGTTAGTCTTTTTTATTGATTTTTTACAGAGAGGAAGGGAGAGGGATAGAGAGTTAGAAACATCGATGAGAGAGAAACATCAATCAGCTGCCTCCTGCACACCTCCTACTGGGGATGTGCTTGCAACCAAGGTACATGCCCTTGACTGGAATCGATCCTGGGACCCTTCAGTCCGCTGGCCGACACTCTATCCACTGAACCAAACCAGTTAGGGCATGTGTATTAGTCTTGTGTTTATTATTAATCCTCTAAATTTCTATTAAGCTTTACAATTGCCCAAACTTTTTTGCAATATGTTAGGAAGGGCAGGTATTGTGACTCCCATTTTACTTATGTGCAGCTTGGTGCTCAAAGGGTAACTGTTCCAAAGTTGCCAAACTGCTGCTGCATTGCAGAACTTGTCCTGTGATGCTTACACATGGTGCCAAACTAAATGTCAGGAAAAGGCATGATCTGTCTGCAGGCGGGAGGAAGGTCCGGGATAACTGTGTAAGTAGGTTTTAAAAAGTGACCATTGAGATAATTTTGGGTTAGGAGTCGGCAAGTGCTGAGGGAAGTATAGTGTATAGTTGTAGGAGAAAGCTTGGCTACACAGCCTTCTGTATTCCCCAGAGTATGCGGTTATGCTGGGATCAGGGCAATCTCTCGGCACACGTGCAAAATTGTTACGCTTTCCAGATTCTAAATATAATCTTAGATGTTCATATTAGATTTATCATTTGAAAGTAAGTTGAAAACAACATGCCTAGCCTATACCATATTTAAAAATATGTTCACGTATTTTACATTTTGTATATGTGCATTATGCATATACATATACATTAAAAATATCTAGTGTGTTTTTTTTAACGAACATTGGACTGGTACATTTTTTTTTTCTAAAATCATCTTGAAATTTATTTGAGCTTTAGCTTCTTTTTTAAAAATGTTTTTTACTGATTTTTAGAGAGAGGGGAAGGGAGAGGGATAGAGGGATAGAAACACCCATGAGAGAGAATCATTGATTGACTGCCTTCTGCATACTCCTCACTGGGAATCAAGCCTGCAACTGGGGCATGTGCCCTGACTGGGATTTGAGCAGGTGTCCTCTTGGCTCATGGGTCAATGCTCAACCACTAAGCCACTCTGTCCAGGCTTAACTTCCCTTTTATCTCTCTTTAGAGAAAAGTATAATCTAAATACATTATATATGAGTTGTGTATATAGAATGATATATGAAACAATGTATGACTTACTGTTGATGGTAGTTAGACCCTGAGCAATGGTTTGAGGATAGGGTCTTGATATTACTATACCATTTATTTTATACTTTACTCTTATTTGAATAACTTGCTGTAAGAATCTTTCATTTGTTTACACATTATTTAAAACTAGAGGCCCGGTGCACATTTGTGCACAGGGTGGGGGAGGGGAGATGGTCCCACAGCCTGGCCTGCACCCTCTCGCAATCTGAGGCTCCTTGGGGGATGTCCCTCGCAATCTGGGACCACTGGCTCCTAACCTCTCACCTGCCTGCCTGCCTGATTGCCCCTAACCACCTCTGCCTGCCTGCCTAATCGCCCCTAACCACTTTTCCTGCCTGCCTGATCGCCCGTAACTACTCACCTGCCTGTCTGATTGCCCCTAACAACTCTGCCTGCCTGATTGCCCCTAACCACTCTGCTTGCCTGCCTGCCTGATCACCCCTAACCACCTCTGCCTCAGCCCCCACTGCCACGGCTTCACCCAGAAGGATGTCTGAAATGACGTTGGGAAGGTCGTTTGGCTGTCCGGTCTAATTAGCATATTATGCTTTTATTATTATAGATAACAGATTACAATATTTTTACTGTAGTGTGTGAAATAAACAATTAGACAGGATATGAGTCTTACAATGCAAGTATTTTTTAAAGTGCATTTCAAAAATTCTCCGTAGACTTGGCTTTGGATTTCTGGACCTTTGTGCCTATATTGTGCTGAAAGGCTTTACAGGTGCATCCGGAGTCATAAGCCAGTCACCATCATCTCCGTTATCAGTCACCCTTCAGATGTTATGGAAATTCGAATGGCCAAAGAAAATTTTAAAGCAAGACCTGGCCAGGTGAGTCATTGTTCAGCAACTTTTAAAATACCTTTTATCCTTTTTTGTTGTTATTTTTAGGATATTTTTTCCATTGATTTTTTATTGAGAGTGGAAGGGGGGGATGAGATAAAGAGAGAGAAACATCGATTTGAAAGAGACACATAAATTGGCCTTGACCAGGACTGGGGATCAAATATGCAACCCAGGTCCGTGCACTTCACTGGGAATCAAATTCAAGACCCTTCAGTTTAAGGACCAACACTCTAACCATTGAGCGAACCAGCCAGGGCATAAAATACCTTTTATTCTTATGTAATTTTTGAAAATTAGCATACAAGTGCCACATTGGAAAATTAAAACTTCTCTCTTGGTCATTTAAAATCTTTTTGTTGCTTTTCAGTATATCACTCTACATTGCCCCAGTGTGTCTGCATTAGAAAATCACCCATTTACCCTCACAATGGTAAGAAACTTGTTTTTTTAATTTTTTAAAAATGAAATGCATATCTTACTTTTTTATACTCCACCTAATTCTAAAAATCATTCAAGGCTGTCACAAGATCCTTGTGTAAGTAAGCCATCTTTTTGCAGAGAAATATGTTTATCTGTATAGAAACTTTGTAACTATTTATTTATTATTTTATGCTATTTTAAAATTCAGAGTAATATATCTAAAATTTATTAAATCTTTTTTATTCAAAATGCATAATTTTTTATAATTGCACTTTTTCTTTTGTGGATTATGTACCAAAACATAATCTGTGCATGATTTTCTCTAAAGAAACTGAATTTCTTTAAAGATATTGAGTTGTGGTAGCAGCATAAGAAAATCCAAGCAGTGTTTAGACAAGTAAAAGTCCAGTGTAATAGTCCTGTATATGGGGGAGACAAAGGAAAATAAGGTAAACAAAATAAAATGGAATAATAATGGAGGGGGCTAGCTAAGTAATGGAATCACCATATATTTTAGCACATTGTTTACATTATTTTATGCCATTCTAAAAATGGCATGAAATAAAAAAGTAAATAATTCACAATTAAATAAGATACATTTGGAACTTTCCCTCATTTTCCCCTTTCCAATTATTTTTCTTTCGAGTTTAACATCTATTCCTCTAGATATTTTACTTTATAATTTGGCATATATAACTGTTTGGCATTTTTGATGAATTATTTGTTTTATAATTTTCTCTTTTTACTCAACAATATATTATGGAAAACTTTTCATTTATGTTTTATATGCCTCACTCTTTTTAATGACTACATAAAATTTTATAAGTTATTTAATATTCCCCACTGATGATGGGGATTAAGATTTTATTCCATTTCTAACTAAGGTAACAGAACAGGGACTGCATGTTTAAGTGTGTGCTTAAGATATGCAAATAAATTTGAACAAATTATAGGGTGGGGAGACAGATAAATAACTGGTTTGACACTGGTTCTGAGATGTAAGATTGGGTTTACTAGGATGGAAACTGCTATAAGTTTGATATGCCTCTTGAGAATAGTACTTGTGGAGACAGCTAGGCCAGAAAAATCTATATTTAGAGGACAAAAGAAACAGAAAGGGAGTGTCAAATAGTTAGAGAACAAAACAAGTTATTTGAATAAATAATTGCAATTCTTTAAAGGAAATAACTTTTTCATTGCTTCAAGTTTTGCATTCTGTTTGTATGTAATAAATTTATTTATTAATAATTAAGAGAAAAGCATGGTGGTTACCAAAGGGAAGGCAGGTGGGGGGATAGTAATGGGTAAAAGAGGTCTAATATATGGTGATATAAGATTTGACTTTGGGCGGTGAGCACACAATTCAATATACAGATGATGTATCATAGAAATGTACACTTGAAACCTAGATAATTTTATTGACCAATTTAATTTGAAAAAAAAGTAATATGTAGTCTGGCATCTAGTAAAATAACTAACAACATTCTATTAGATCAAGAAATATTTAAGTTCAGAAGTGAGTTGGATGGAGGCAAAGAGATTGGATGCTTAGAATTCTATGTTCATGAGTTTTTTTATCTGACCATATGTGTACCCTACTCTATATAGGTCTAGGAAATGGTTTGTACCCTTCCCAGATTTGGGAGAATTAATAGCTGGCTCGCTCATACTATCCTCCAAGGGGCAAATCTTGCTGCTATCTACAAATGAATTTTAGTAGAGAAAACATTTTTAAGATAAATTTTACATTATGCTGTTTTGTTAATTTACTATTGTTGACTTTAAACAGACAGCAACCAGATATTTCTCCAGCAAATTGTATTTATTCAGGAACAACAGAGAACTGCAATTTGGAACATGTGGTCTAATGGTAAACCATATGCATGTCCAAAGAACAAGAGAGATAAACTTTCTTTTGCAGAGGAAAAGGGAGTTCAGAGGGGTTGTAAACAGAGTCCATTGAAGGAGACTGGGAGTTTGAAGTGTAGTGACTTTTCATTGGCTGAGTTGTAGCAGTCTTTTCATTGGCTGAGTGGTTGCTGGGTGAGGAGAAGGTCCTACTTCTTCCTGTTGGAGTAGCTAAGTAGAAAAACATCTTCCCGTTGGACGTGGAAAGTATGTCTCTTGGTGTTTGGGGTAATTGGCTGTAAGTGGTGAGTGAGTGCTCCTCCTATGGGCCCTCACAGCTCAAATTTAAGAGGGGTTTCTGTTTATTAATCACACAATGTTTTCCTGCCAATTCCCTTCCTTTTGTGCAATTAGTTCTGTTTGGTACTTACATGTAAAATGCATGCTTCTTAAATATTTTCACTAGAAAGGGTTCCTTTGATATAAACAAAGCAAAACAGTAATTTCCTATGTGCTGATTCCCACTAAAAAGTGTGTACATACCCCATCTTTGTCAAAGATAATAGTCCCTACTAATTAAATGCTTAAGAAGTTCCTTCATAAACTTTGAAAATATTATATTGTTTAATTCTTACTCTATTTCTATGACACGTGTACTGCACATTATATTTTATGTAGAAAACAATGTGACTGCAAGAGATGAAATAAAGTCACACTGCTAGTTGGTGGCACAGGTGAGATACACAGACGTGCCTGGCTGAATGGCGTGTTGTCAGATATTCTGCACAGCCTCTCTCTTGCCTCACCACTCATTGATGTTCAGAGCATTCATATTTCTAAAACTCTTATTGGTTGTAGATATACTTGTTGTTGGTGTCAAACAACCAAAATGTATTACCATTTAGGAGAGAACTGTACTGAAATTACCAAGAGGCATTTTCAAGAGAAATATGAAATTGAAACTTTTGAATTTTCTGTAGTACTAAGCTCTTCGAATACTCTGGAGAGTTAAAAGTCAAATAAGTTCTCTGCTAGAAAACTGTGACAGTAGAAGGAAAAATCAAATCTATAAAATATGCAATGCTCACAAATTCTGTAGTTTGAACTTGAACTCATTTTTTAAATGGAGAATAAATTTTTAAAACTGAAAATATGAGAAATAAGTACAAAAGATAAGGCACAGAAGCACGAAAGTAATTTTCACAATTTCAGTCATGGTAAAGCTAAGTTTTGAGTACTGATTTTATTAGATACCCAAAGGTTGGAGTTTTATTTACTTAAGGTGCTTCAGCATTTTTACACTTGACATTTATTTTCCTACACAAAGACATGATAATTTTGTGGGTTTTCCTAGGGCGTTGTGCTTGTTTTCTGCTATTGCACCTACAAATCTCCTAGGGCAGAACCAGCAGGCACATGTTTGGTGTCAAGACTGAGGGAGAGCGGAGGTAATCCTATACTAATAGAACATGGATTTTGGAATCCTAGACAGTCTGGGTTGGAGGACTGGATCCCCCACTTATTAGTACTATATCCTTGGATGAGATAATTAACATATTTACCTTTGGTTTGCTTCTTTATAAAGTGTGGATAATAATAGTGACTTCTCTATGGAGTTACTGTGGGTAGGAATTAAAAAAGATATAATAAGTGCTAATATAGTAAGTTCTCAATAACTTAGAAGTTGTTACCCACTGTCTCCTCCACATTTTACCTTTCATAATTTGTTGACGCCTCTCTACTTGTGTTACCACTCCCCACATCACCTTTGCTATTATGCTTTTTATTTTTATTTGTTATGGTTGTTGTTTTAGATAATGAGTGTAGAATCAAGACAACCGGATTACATTGAATTTTTTGCCTCATTCTGCAGCATGAACTAACTGACCAAGCTCTGGCCACAGTCTGGTTTAGAAGCAGTTATTTCTGGGATGGATGATTTATTTGCCTCTTGTGGTTTACTAGCAGTTAGGATGAATGATGGACCTTTATTGGCTGAAAACCTGGGTAGAATTTTACGTGTTGTTCTTCAACTATGTATTGGATCTCTAAGTGTTTTCCAGCTATGCTCTGTAATTGCCAAGTTTGGATTTTCTACCAAAACAAATCTATTAAAGTATGCTATCATCTAATTTAGATGTAGGAATCAGATATGATTTTACAAAGCTCAAACTTAAAGCATGAAACCTACTGCTTACTACAAAATGTAGCTTCTCTTAGTATTTAACTGAGACAGACATTTGTTATGCTTATTGATATTTTTATAGATTCTCAAAGAAATAATGCACAATCTACTTTTTTATGGTGGTAACAGATTGAAGCTTACATAAATATATCTATATCCATTCCTTATTATTTTAATTCAGAAGTACACATGTACTTTCCTGACAGCTGTATTCTAAATTGTGTGACTCATGACTCTTAAGCTTGGATAACCTAATTTCACATATTTTTCCATGAGTCAGAGGCAAGTTTAGCTGTTAGTTTGTTATTGTCTGTACTCTAACATAGCATGCCTTCACTTGCCATCACTGTTCTGCTTTGTGTTTTTAATCTCTCAACCAGTCACTTTGGGAATAGTCTTTCCAGTTTTCAATGAAAACCAGACAAGAATGGCCATGCATGGCTTAAATATTGAAAATATTTATTTCATTTCATGGGTTTAAATATAAGCAGGAAATCTGCTTTAGTGGTTTGGATCTTCTGTCTTGCTTTCATCTATCTAATTCTTAAAAATTGCTTTCCTCTAGGGCTTTACAAATCTTTTGCTTAGACAGCTTAGAAACTCAACGAGGATAGATGACAGATTAGCAAGGCAATAAAGTGTCTTAACTACAGACCATGCACAGTGGTGGAAGTTGCCACAGAAGGTCACTAATGTTCATGAAATATAACGGGACATCTGAATTCTCTGAAAGTTAAACATCACCTAATTGCTCAAGGCTGGCTCTTTTCCAGGGAAAAAGAATATATTTCTTCAGTGCATAATGAGCGCCTGAATATATGAACATTAATCGGTCACTGTGTTCAGAGCAAACCTGCTATTTAATAGTAAACTTGATTTATTCAATTGGTATTTTTGGATGCCTCCTTTAAACGAGGTATCAAAGAGAAAATGTTGGATAAAAGCCCTTTCTTGACTCACATCTCCTTCCAGCCTCT